CGCCACAAATCCAGCTCACAGCTTGATGTCTCGCCTCCGACTGAACGCCGCATCACGTTCAGCAGCAGCACTGAGTGGATGCTCGAGAGCACAGTGTGAACAAACACATACACACTGGGGTCCCAAACTCCATGTTCACTACTAGCAGCTGTCTTTATTTCATCAGTTATCATAGGTGAATTCAATTTTACTAAATTGAAGATCACTAATATTGCTTATTAGTGTTCACTAATTCACTAATTCCAGATTAGACTAAGACTGGAGGTGAGTGCAATCTCGCCTGCTCCCACAGTTTTTTTTTTAAATAATTCCTTGACCTTGACCAGGAAACAGCAGTTACTGATGATGGGTTAATGAAAGTAGTAAATCTGTCATGCATTGTAAACACTCTCATGTTACGAAATGTGACTAGCTTCATATCTAACTGCTCTCAACAAGTAAAAACGTCCCACTGCCATGAAGTTTTTGTTGGGTCCTGCAGGATCTCAAGCCCAATACACACCTCTAATGTAGACTATAACACTCCTGGAACATCAGTATTCCTGAGCCCCTTGAGGAGTCAGAGGTGTGAAACAGACCTGCCAACCAGGAAGAGGAATAATGCAAAGTCCCACAGAAGTGAGGGATTAAAAAAACACACAGTAAACTGTACAAAAGTTTGATCCTTTGTCGAAACCGTGAAATGTTTACACGTGGCTGACATTTTCACTGTTGATCTGCTTAAAATGCAGGTGCGCAAACAGTGTTTTTACTTTCTAATTATCACTCCCATTAAAAATACTTGTGAAATGTTGGAGTTGACATTTTGTTGTAGGTCTAATCTTTTTTCTGTCTTTTCTGTATTTCAGACAATGCACTAAAGCTTTTGGTGCATACCTCATAAATCTAGCTAATTGATGTTATCTGTAAACGTGTGTAATGTTAGCAAAGTCAAGCATACATACATAGATAGAGTTGATTTCATATTAATGAGCTCAAAGCATACTCTATTCACCGTGACAGAAAGCAAGGACACCGCGTCAGTTCCTCTCGCAAGTAAGAAAATCAACTCGAGATGAAACATTACTATTGTGAGATGGAGGGAAGGGAGTGGGGTTTCCAGTGAGTGAGCTATTAGCAGAGAGTTCAAAACACTTACGCAACTGTTCAGCATTCGAAATTCGTACAACGATTGGTTTATATGACATGGGGAACAAAGATGATGTTCGAGTGATAACTCGAAGCGGAGTACTTAGATGTTAAAATGTGGAGCTCAGACGCAAAATGGATAAAGGTTGGCAGGTGTTGCTCTAGAAGCAATAAAAAGAGGTTACATCAGGGGAAAAAAAAAACCATTTACCAAGTTGGGAGCGTGAAGTGATACTGTTCGGATTAAACATTCACCCTGAAAATAATTTGAAATTCAATTTTGAGACCAATTTCAGGTTTATATGTTGGTGTTATTGGCATTTTCATGATTAAAACGAAATATTCGATAACTGATGGAAATAAAGTTTCAGATTTTGGGATCCTGATATAAACACACACACACACACACACACACACACAGTTTTTTTTTTTTTCTTCTCATATGTCATGTGTTGTCCATGTTCAGTGTTTTATTTGAAAGCACAGTCTGGCTCCGTTCTGCTTCAGACACAGAGAGAGAGATGGTGATAAAGAGAAAGAAACGGTCGCCACGCCCTTTCCCATAATGCAGCGGTGCCTTATTCCTGAACGTGTACCAATGGAAGATGTGCTGCTATGTGTCCATCCACGCTACATACATGACATCCATCCTTTTGTTTAATGGTTATTTTTCTATGTGATGCCACGGCGAGAGGTTGGTGGATATGTGACTGCTCTGTTTTCTTTGTAATACTTCGTTAAAAAAAACAAAAAAAACGATGAAGATGATGATCACGATAATGAACGATAAACGTCCGAACGTGGGAGTCCAGAGTCACGATGCTCACGTGGATCTGATCATTTTAGACGACTGAATGCACAGAAGACACGAGATACAGAACATCGGACATGCATCGGACCAGACGCAGATAAATTTTAAAAAATAAAATAATATTAATAATTAATACAAATCCCGATTGCATTCATTAGAAAAGGAACAAAAAAACGGAGCCTGGGAATTTCCTTGGACTCACTCAGCCAGGATGGACTACGTTGTGATGAAAAATCAGAGAAATGACTGTACGATCGTCATCGGTATTGTATCTGGCTGGTCTAGATTAAACAAAAAAAAAGAAAAAAAAAGAAAAAAAATCTGCAAATGCAAAATACATATATGAATATATTCCGAACTATCTCTGTATGTGTTCCAAATATGTAAAGTCATAGGTGACGTGACTTTTTACACAGCATTCTGGGTGATGGCTGCCAGTTTTTTACATTAAAAATCTGCGTCGTCACATCCTCCTCCTGATTTAGTTTATTAAAGTTTGGACCACATAACTTGTGTGGAATTTCTGTGAGTGTGTGTGTGTGTCTGATTGGATTGATGGGAAAAACAGAGAAATAAAAACCATTCCTAAGAATTCATTTTATTTGAAAGTAAAAAAAATGATAAAAGTGTGATTTTGTGTAAACAAACAAACAAAAACATTAAAAAGAGAATATAAGGAAACAAATTAATGACACAAAATGCAATAAATAATAAATAAATAAACACAACTAAATAAATACATTTCTTTTTACTTATACTTTATACTATACTTTATAGTTACTTATACTTTACATTTATACGTGTACAACGTACACCTTTTACTTATTTTTACTTATATATGATATTCACATTTAATTCAGTTTCGCCTAATATATTTTAAGCTATTTGAAATGATATGAATAATACGAAGGTCATTTCATTTCAATTTCCTCAATGTGAGTTTTGTTTGAGAGCAAAAGAAAAAAGTGTACAAACAGACAAAACCCGCAAATTTAAACAAACAAGCAAACATAGATAGTAATCAAATACAGAATATAAACAAAACAACAAAACGAATGAATAATAAAAATATTTATACACAAAAAAGTAAGACAAGCAAAATAAACAAGCTAACAAACAAACAAAACAAAATATGAATATTAGTAAATTTAATTCAGTGCTAATTATGTACTAGTTATTATACTAGTTAATAAAATTAAATACTAGTAAATCAATTTGTATATATATATATATATATATATTTGCCATTTTTCGCTGCATGTTTGTTGTTCTTAAACGCAGCTTCAACTTAAAGCACATGAACTCAAGTTGGAGCTAATTAACATGCTAAGCGCTCCTCGCTAATTACCCACTCACTCACTCACTGAGCGACGAGGCGAAATGAAAAGTGTTTACTGAAGAGCAGAAACCATTGCATGTTTACAGCATCTCCACTTCATGAGTGCTAATCCTGCACCACTGTAATTAATGAAAAATCCTAAAAAAAAATAATAATAATAAGAGAACAGCCTTCAGTGTGGAGGTCTGTGTCGCTGAGGGTGGGCTGCTAACGGCAGCGCTGATTTGTCAGATTCGAGTATTTATTATTAAATTATAATTCATTCGCATATTTATTGAGTACCAGTTGATATGCGAACGAATAATAATTGAATTCAGACATGTTAAGAATAAACAGATACCATCCGAAATCAAATGACAATTTCTTTAATGAGGTTTACAATTAAGACACAAAGCAAATAAAAATAAATGGCAAAAAGAAGAACGAATCAGAGGATAAAAAAATGGATGATTTTGAGTTTTGAGCTTTAATAATCCATCACGTCTGCTTTTAAAATTTTATATATATATATATTTTTACATATTTATTTATTTATTTCTGAATGAATGAATGAATGAATGAATGAAAATCCTGAAGGGTGAGGACACAAAATGCATCACTTTTCCAAGAAAAAGGAAGAAGAAAAATCTTTTTTTTTTTTTAAATCACAAAAAGAAAAATGACTTTGACACTCACTGAGCGTTTACAGTTAATAATTATATTTAAGATGAATTTACATTTAAGTAAAAATGTATATTTAATTTATAATAATTAGGTAATTATTTGGCATAAATTCATTATTTGCAATTAATAATTTCATTTCTGATGAATAAACAACTGATATTTATATACGTTTATATCTAATCCATAGTAATTAATAATAAGTAATATTAATAATAATAACATATAATGAATTGTTTCAATTAATAATTGCAATTAAGAATACAAAATGATCAAAAGAACGTAATTTCTCATAGAAGTATATAAACTGAAGATAAATCAAAGCAATTAAAAAGATTTATTTATTTATTTATTTATATATTATATCAGTATTTTAAGCATTATGCAGAAAAAAACAGAGAAAGAATGAGAGAAGCAGAATAACAAACAGCAGAAAGCAGTGGATAAAATAAATATAAATAACCACATCAGATTAAATAAAGCAAACATTATTAAATGCCCACAACAAAGAGGAAATAAGCACATAAAAATAAGATGAATATTTAAATAAAATAAAAAAAAATTGAATAAATTCATTTATGTAATATAGAACTTAAGCAGACAAAAAAAGTAATAAAAAATAAGAAGATTGAAAAGGATGGATTCGGTGTCCTTGTTGTTTTTGGGATGATTTGGTTGGACTTGTTGGAAAACTAACCAGAGTTCTACTTTTTTTTTTTCAGTTTTTGGAAGAACCACTAAAGAACCCCATCCATCCGTCCGTCCATCCATCCATTCATTCTCTGTACCATTTATACTACACAGGGTCACAGGGAGCCTGGAGCCTCTCCCGGGAAACTGGGGGCACAAGGTGGGGGACACCCTGGATGGGGTGCCAACCCATCACAGAGCACAATCACACACACACACACACACACACACACACACACACACACACACACTATGGACATTTTAGAGATGCCAATCAGCCTACCACACATGTCTTTGGACTGGAGGAGGAAACTGGAGTACCCGGAAGAAACCCCTGAAGCACGGGGAGAACATGCAAGCTTCATGCACATAGGGCAGAGGCGGGATTCGAACCCCCAACCCCCGGGGCAACAGTGCTAACCACTAAGCCACTGTGCCTCCCCCCTCCCACTACAGAACCTTGTGAATCCACATCTTCTGACCAACCAATGCGAATACGAGCCGAGCTTTCTGCACTCTGACCTTAAGTTGGAGCAGGGGTCATGACCTTGCGTGGAGTCACTTGATTTACAAACGGGGTCGGAGAAAAAAACTCACCATCTCTTTTTTTTCCCCCTTTAATTCATTTATTTTACAAATTAATATTCAAAATATCACTCCGCATCTGAAACTGGATTTTGTATTGTAAAATGTTGCCAGGCTTCACATTCAGTCAAGCCACATATACATGAAGAGTGTACATGCTAGATTCTTTTTTTTTCCACTATCCTGACAACACTAACACTAGCACTAGCACTAGCTTAGGAGTTCAACAATACGTAAAGACAAATTTCCCCTTTCATCTCCCTCCGCTAAACACACACACACTAGCATTGTGTCTCAAATTGCTTTAGACCGTTTTCGAGCACTAACTGGGTTTTTCTATTACAGTTAGTGGATTTGGATGTGATAGCAGAAAGAGATGCATCCTTTCAAATGCACCTCCTGTTTTTTTTTTTTTTTTTTGAAAAGCTGTGTCAAGAAATGCATGCTCACACACCCTTCCTGCTAGACTGGAAGCCAGTGCAAAGAATACGTCACTTAGTCACTTAGAGTGAAGTAATAAAATACAGAAAATTCATAATGTCCAATTGGGGTCGTTTACCCAAAAAGTTTGGGAACCTGAATTAGAGTTTAAAACTCATCTTTAGTATAAGTGTGTAAGTGTGTGTGTGTGTGTGTGTGTGTGTGTGCTTTAATTCCTACAGGATCGATTGTCAGACACTTGTGTACTTGACACGTGCTGGCCTGTGTCACAGAATTGCAGCACTGACGCACTCACTGGTCCAGATGATTGTGTGAACATCTAAAACCATTAGTGCAGAATCAGGAGTGTGTGTGTGTGTGTGTGTGTTCTCCATAATCATACCATACCAATATGGTGGGTAAAATACTACTGCTCTGCACTGTTGAGTTCTGGATTATAATTGGTAAGATGTTGATTAATTTCTCTAAAACAGCAGCTCTGACAGTAGTGCAGGTTTTTATTAATGCTCTCGTTCTAATACGTGATCATTTCTGGAGTAACAGCTCATTCACAGGGACTCGCAAGGCAGACGCTGAATAATAGTCCCTGGATAATAGATGCTGGATAATTAGAGAATAATAAACTGATTTTCGAAGTGTGTGTAATTGTTGATCATTTGTAAGGAGAGGTTTAAGTGACATTTATGGAAGGAGTCTCCAGTGTCAGAGGTAAAGCTGCAATTTTCTGACATCTTCAGGACAGAGGAGTTAATGCTTTGCAGGTTTTCTATTTCTGCATTTTTTTATTAACTGGAAGAGAGGGATAAAAGAGAAGCTGGTGAGGGAACAACTGTTTATAGCTGGTGCCTTTTTTTGTGCCAGTTTTGGTTTTTTCTACACTGTTTTGCGTTCATTGTCTAGAATAGTTTAAGGTAGCAAAAATAATAATAATAATAATAATAATAATAATAATAATAATAATAAAATAATTGAATAATTTTCGGGGGGCCAAGCACCCAGATTCGGTGAGTCGCACATTCACAGATGCACGACAATCGTTGCCTAAGCAATCACAGGAAAGCGGAGCCATAACTTTAGGCAAAGTGATTCGAGAGTGATTTGTAGCTTCAATCACGATGTGTATGTTTTGACCACAGACAGTGCTGGAATTCTCTGATTGTAGGAGGAAAGGTCTAGATGAACAAATGGGCAGCAGGGTGGCACTGCTGCTGCAGCTGCCACTACTGCTGTGACCTGTGTTTTTTTTTCCCCTCATCAGTCTGGCCTGTCTTCCCCACTTTGTGCAAGTTTAGACAGGTCTCAATATGATGTGAGCCAAATTTGGTGAAGACTGGACAAAATTTGGAGGAGGAGTAGCAAAAATGGCAGTTAGATGGAAGCATTTTTTTAGCATGTTATTATAGCTTTTGACCAGTGAGTGGCGCTGCCACAAAATGTGTTGCATAGCCTCAGGGTATGGTCCTGAAGACACCTACCAAGGTTTGTGTCAGTATGCAAGGTCCTTCCTGAGATACAGCCTTACTTTCTGTTTGGCGGCTTCACCATCAGATTTGTTGGCACATTACGGGCAAACCGTTTGAAATATCAACATTCTTTTGATAATTTTTTTTATCCAGGTTGGACCGAATATGATGTAGGCCAAATTTGGTGTTGATAGGACATAATTTGTAGGAGGAATAGCCAAAAAAAACAGTTTTTGACAAAATCCAAGATGGTCAACAGGAAGTACACTTGAATTTCAAACGTTGGTGTGTGTTCACTTCAGCATACCCCAGGGAATTATTGGAAAAAAAGAACTGTGAATTTAGCACAAACTCTTCAAATGATATAAGGAAAAAAAATAAAAGTTGGTACAGTTCTTGAACACAAGGTGGCACAGTCACAAAATGTCTATGGTTCTGAAGATACTTATCAAGTTTTGTGATGAGAAACAGATCCACCCTCACATCCTGTTTTTTTTTTTTTTTTTTTTGCATTTGCCAGCACATTACAGGAGAACAGGATTGAATCTCAGTATTCTTTGATACCCTTTGTTCAGACAGGTCTCAAGACCCAAAAACCCAATGGTGGTGCTAGAGCGTTCGCAGGACTTAGCCCAAATTTGGTCAGAATATTCCTTAGACCCTCCCCAATCAGTGTACCAAATTTCACAACTTTTTACCAGATGGTTCTATCGGCTGCCATAGACACCCTGGCCAGAAGAAGAAGAAGAAGCGAAAGAAGAAGAATAATAAGAAAAGGTAGAATAACAATAGGGTGCCTACGCACCTTCGGTGCTTGGCATCCTAATAAAACTAACTAACTAAATAAATAATAAGAAGAAAATCTTAAAAATATTGTACAGTGCTTGGACCCCTAATAATATGGGTGGGTGTTTACTTGTGTGTTTGTCATCCAGTACTCCAGTGAACACTGTAGCTTTATCACTAGCATTCACTTGCATTTTAATTCCAGATGTGTTGGTACAAGAGTGCACAACACAGATGTTATGTCAGTGCAGATTTATATTTTTATGGAACACAACAGGAAAATAAAAGTCCAGTAAATATTAATATCTGTGTCTGAACCCACAGCATCCACACAAACACACATTTTCATTTATTCCACATGTTTTGAAAGGCTGCCAGTTAAACCGCACACAGCCTGTAATTTTCTAGCATTAAACAAAACTTCGGCTGCCTCGTTGTTTAAACTGTCAAAGAGAGAGAGAGAGAGAGAGAGAGAAAGAGAGAGAGGGATTTCATGAGTAGTTCTCATCGAAGCATGTCATTTGGGTCTGTCGTTTTTCATGCGTTCGGTCGCCTTCCATATCATCACCCTCGGTACACACTCCGCTTGACTGGATCATTCCATTCCAGCGTGTAAATATGATTAAAGTCTGCTCACTCCTGCCCTGCTCACTATTCCCTACAGCAGAGGGGGTCAGGGACACTCGCCAACAGGCTAATACAGAAAAAAATCTTTCACCTTAACACCATCACGAACGTCTCATTGGCGTCATGGGGCATACACTGGGGGCGTGTCCCAAAACACATGCCCTATTCACTATATAGACCAAATAAAGAAATAAACAGTATCATCAGTGCACCGTGGGCGTGTCCCAAACCATTATTTCATGTATATATATATATATATATA